CAAGAGGTAGGGCTGGGGTTGTGGCTCAGCAGTAGAGCGCTCGCCTAGCACATGCAAAGCACTGGGTTCGATCCTCAGCACCACATAAAAATAAATAAAATGAAGATATTTTGCCCAACTACAACTAAAAAAATATATTTTTAAAAAAATTATAAAAAAAGGAAGAAGAGGTAGGGGCTAAGGTTGTGGCTCAATGGTAGAGCACTTGCCTAGCACATGTGAAGCACTGGGTTCTATCCTCAGCACCACTTAAAAATAAATAAAATAAAGATATTATGTCTATTTGTAACTAAGAGAGAGAGAGAGAGAGAGAAATCAAGAGGTGGACCTGGGGGAAAATTGTCTGGAAATCCCCTGGAACTCTGTACCCACCCAATAAAACTGAAGTGCAACAGAGGTGTACCATCCCTCTTCTCCCTGAAAGGACCCAGTCTCCCCTAAGACCCTTTTTCCCCTTTCCTATGCCTTCGAATAAACTCATGCCTGTTACTCTGAGCAACATGTCTGAAATCTTTCTGGCATGATTGCAAGAAGTTGGGTTTGAAGAGTATCCTCCAAGCTGCCTCGTTTCTCATTAGGCCTCGGCCCTGTAACAAAACCCCAACCCCCAGCCCTTCTTCCAGAGACTGTAACCAATCGCTTTCACACAAGACAGTTTGACCTTTGCCACACCAATCACAATTCACCAATCACAATTCCCAACCAACAAAAGATGTTATTAACAAACCCTTGCAATTTAATCTAGAAAAGCTGTCACACTAGGTAGTGTGGTCTTTATCCTGCCTAGAATAAGGCCCTGTATGTTCCTAAAGCAGAGGAGAGAGCAAAGCCTTAATAAATGTCAAGAACAAAGTTAGGGGAAAGAGGACAAAGTAAAATCCAGACAAGCTAAAGAAGCTAAAGATGTTGCACAATTCCAATGGGGAAGAAGAAGCAGAGGGAGTGGAAATGAGGGAGAAGACATATCCCAAATCACATCCTGATTTCTCCTGTCTTAGTAAATTAATATGATCATAGATGTCATTCATTCAACATTTATGGAGCATCTACTATGTGCCAAACACTGTTCTTGGTGCTAGAAATACAGATAAAAACCCCTACCCTTAAAGACTTGACAAGGAGAGCTAAATGAAGAGTCATAAACATAATAAACACGTTACCTCGTAGGTTAAGCCTTCTGGGGTGAAAAAGAGCTTGATAAGGAGAGTGGTGCAGCTTTAAGATCAGCAAGATCTCACTGAGAGACTCAGCAGATAGGTGGAGAAAAGGGAGGGACCCACTGAATACTGGGAGAGCATGATATTCACTCTCCTCTCATTCCTTATGAATGGATGTGCTGGGGCCACAACTTTGTTCCTTAATAAATGGCTCATTAAGCAAAAGGGAACCATTAAAAAAAGAGAGAGAGAGCAGGGACAGAACTTTCCTTATTCAATCCAGTTCATCTGGTGTTACATGAGAACTCGACAAATGAGTTGCATCAATTTATTCATTCATGATCAGTAATTCACTAGGAGAAAGACACCCCCCTCATAAGCCTCCCTTTAAATGTCAAACTTTTTTTGACATACCATTTTTCATAGAAACAATATCAGTGGGTTTTTAAAGGCATAAACATAACTTATGATTAGAACACGATTTCATTTTTTATTTTCCCTTCCAGTCTTTGTGTGCATGACATATGTACAATTTCATGTGTTGTAACCACAAGCATACGATTTTGAGTGTTCCCCCCCCCCATTTACCATCATGTTGTAAGAATTAGTCTTTAGCATTTTCTAGCCTTTGTAATGGATAATGAATGTCGGGGGTCATTCACTGCCTGCCAGCTAAAGCAATGTTATTTTCAACATTTTTGAATACTACAATGGCCAGGGTCTAGTGGGCTCCATTAGCTCAGTTGTCAGAACACTGGCCTTGTAAACCAGGGCTCACAAGTTCAATCCTCCAGGGGTCTTGTACTCAACGTGCTTTTTCAAATATCAGACCTGAAAACACACACACACACACACACACACTCTCTCTCTCTCTCTCTCTCTCTCTCTCTCTCTCTCTCTCTCTCAAATACACGAATAAAAATGCCAAAACGGACAAAGTGATCCCTGGCAATTTACTTTGACAATATTACTCCTACTGAAATTGATGTTATGTATCCCTACCGTGATTACAGGTTAGAAAAGGCTTGAATGCAACCAAAAGCAGGGAAAAGGGAAACCACAAAAAGAAAAAAAAGAAAAAAAACAAGAAAAGAAAAAAAAAGCTTAAACTGCAGCCTGAACTGCAGTCCACAACTCGAGAAATGAGGTGTGAGGTTTCGCGGGCTTGTTTTCAACCCCTATCTCCAGGAACCATCCACCGAATTAACCGAGGAGTCCGGCTTAGCCAGACAAGCGGTGAACTTGGCCGCGCGGGGGAACAGAGCCGGCCAGGCGCTGCAGTAACGCCGCGCAGTCGGCGGGCGGCGCTGTGGCACCGCTCCCCATCGCCTGTCCCCRCTGCCGCGGGTGCGTCCCCCACGCCCTTCCCGGGCCCGAGCGGTGACCAGCTTGGCCTGGATGCCGGCCGGCGCTGAGGCTGACACGTGGCAACCGGGCCTGCAAGTCCAGCCTGGGTCCAAGGTCCTGCCCTTTGGAAGGGCGGGGAGCGACTCCCAAAAATAGAGCCCTGGCTGCTTGGAGAGTCAGTCGTGTGCTCAGCCCTTCTCTTTTCTTCGGTTTTTCTCCCGAATTCCAGAAAGCCGCGTGACTCCAGAGTCACCAGAGGAGGATGCCAAGAATCTTTTATGAACACACGAATTTTCCCGACTCGAGATTCCGTTTCCCAGATCTTCGGACCAAAACTCGATGAAGGGCAGTGTGTAAGGTCGCCCGGAGTCACTTGTGCTCCTGGAGTATTTGAAATGTGGCAAACTTGAATTGAGATGGGTGAGGAKTGAAGTACACATGGGATTTAGAAAACTCATAACAAAAACTGTTGTTGTTGTTTTTTTTTTTTTTTTAAGTATAAACTATGTCATTGGTAAATTTTAATTGATTACAGAAATAATAATAATTTTCAACCTGCTGGGTGAAATGGATATTTAAATTTACCTAGTTTTAAAAGGTGGCCACTAGAAATTTTCGAGTTACATCTGTGGCTCCCTTTAAGGTCTCAGGTTATCTTTCTGTTGAATGGTGCAGGTTTAGTGTGTCAGAGTCCTGTGACCTTATCTTCAAGTTAATTCTTAACCTGTGCTCACACTAGACAAACAATTGTAGGTGAACTCTTTTCACCTGTGGGTCTCCAGGAGTTCTGCACCTGGCAAGAAGTAAGCATCAAATTCTCTGAGATGAAATCAACTATCTCCCCAACATAATTTTAGAATTCTGCAAAGAGCAAAGAAACTTGCTCTTTAAATTGAGTTAACTAAGAGCTCTACAACTGTAAGACTTTGTATCTTGGCTGACAAGTTTTGAGCTCTGAAGAAACACACTCAAACACATTCATATTTTGTTGGTTATTTTGCTCTTCTGTGGTTGGGCAATCTACTGCTAGGAATGCTGTGGAGGTGGTGTGTAGTGGTACAAAAAAAGTATCCATAATTATGAAAAATGTGTCAGAACTTCACTAACACCAAATGCTTTTTTGAAAAGTCATTTCAGATTCACAGATACCTTAATACCAGATCTGCCATCAAAGGAACAGAATTATTAAAAAGGAGATCTTTGAAGCATTCTAATTCCATCTCCCTGCAACCAAGACATCTCCTCTTGTTCCTCCCCATACTGGTCTCTGAAAAGAGCAAGCACTTGCATATATGTATGTTTTGACTTTCTGAACTTTTCAACACCCTAGACTAGGCTATATGAAAGCTGAAGTCTGAATACATTTTGACTTTGCTACCCCATAGAGATTTTCCTTTTTTTTTTTTTTTTTTTTTTCCTGGTACTGGGAATTGAACCCAGAGGTACTTTAACACTTAGTCACATCACCAGCCCCTTATTTTGAGACAGGATCTCTCAAAGTTGTTTAAGGCCTTGCTACATTGTAAGTGCATAAGGCCTCAAACTTATGATCCTCCTGCCTCAACCTCCTTAGCCACTGGGATTACATACAGGCTTGTGCCACCAAGCCTGGCCCTCTCTTAAGTTCTTAATTTCTCCAGTACTTCATTCAAAAGCCACAACCCCTTCATTGAAGGCCCTCCAGGGAGGCAGATACACAGCAGTTGGTTCAAGTCCAACTGTAATCAATTTGTTTTCTGTTCCCTCCCCACCATGGTCAGGTCAGGTCAGGTCAGCCGCACCTTCCTCCTCTTCAACAGAGGTCCATGGCAACACATAAGAAGCAAGGTGTGGGGATTTCCAAGATGAAATATATAAATCTGGCTCATAAGAAGTACTCAGGTAGAATGGTAGAATGTAGTACGTTTATTGTGCCCTTCACTAAGGTCAAACAGGAGGGGCTGGATGTTTGGAAGTAAGTCTACTTTTAGCCAGTTCTGCCTTGGGGAAAGGAGAACACCAGTTAGAGGGGCTTTCCTGAGAAGCCTGTCACTAACAGGCCTTCTCCTGATCCCTGGATGTGAGAGGAGAACACAGTATGATTCTTGGCCAAGCCTGGTGAGGCATGCTAGATTTCCTAATGCCAAACAAATATCCAGGAGATCAAAGGACATATGTGAGTTTAAGTAAATATTGATTTATTATCTCAAGTTGAAGACATTAACAAGATAAGATTGGGCCGTCCAGTGGGATTGCAAGCAGGTTGWCAGACTGGTGCATGGATAGCCCAGGTGAGGTGGGATATGTTCTCTTGTTAGAAGCACTACATATGGGCAAGGTGCATTCCTTCATTCAGTTGATGGTGAGATTTCCCAGGGAGAAAAAAATCACATGGGCCCTGCCCCCAAATCCACACAGACTTCCCAGACTTCTAAGGCCCACGTTCAGCAGCAGTTTCCACTTGGCTCCGTGGGGTAGTCCTCTCTCGCGTCTCCATCAGCTACCTTGACCACAGTGTCAAGGGAGATTTCTGCCTGATGGTCTCTGCTTTGCCGATGGCTTCATCCCACCATGGTGGGTTTGTAGGTTCTTCTTCCTCTTCCCCTGGGGGCCTGGGGACCACACTCTGGCTTTCTTCTTTGCACCAGGCCTTCGTGACATCTTCTTACTGCTTGTGGGAGAAGCAGGCTTCTTGGAGAAGCCTCTCCGAGATGAAGCCTGGTGTGAGCTAGAAGCTAATGTGGCATTGGATGATTGTCTAGCAGCTTTCTCCGACTGCTCCTTTAGCAAGTCCAAGACTGTCACTGGGAGACAAGCATTATGTTGAGTGAGAAATCTAAATCCTAAAAATAACTATAAAAGAAGCACCAACCAGAAAACTTACAACTGCATAAGGACTTTTTAATTAACTTTTTGAGTTTTTTTAAGAGAAAGGGTATCACTATGTTGCCCAGGCTRGCCTTGAATTCCCAGGCCCACGAAATCCTCCTGCCACAGCCTCCTGAGTAACTAGGATTACAAGTACACACCTCCATACCTGGCTTGCATAAAGATTCTTTAACCCTAATTMTTTTTATTAATGTTTTTTGTAGTATTGGGGATTTAATCCAGGGCTGGTCTCCCACTGAACTGCATCCCCAACCCATTTTTATTTTTATTTTGAGACAAATTCTCACTAAGTTGCTGAGGCTGACCTCCAGCTTGCAATCCTCCTTCCTCAGCCCCCCCAAACCCCTGTGAATACAAAAATTCCCTTCAATGGCCTTGATCTACGTATCCTCCTTTTTTAATAGGGTCACTCCAGAGATATATGGCTCTGGAATATTTCCCTTAARATGGTATCCATCTTCTGTAAGTCTTTCCTGTCTACCCACTTTGTCTGGAGGAAAAATTCCTCAAGTTRACTAGGATACCTTCTCAATGCCCTGGACTTATATAAGGGAACCTCAGAGCTATATTTACTTATGTGCCATCCCTCCTCCCACTTGACTCTGACATTCTATAGGTCCATTACTGTATCTCCAGGGCTTACCACAGTGCCCATCACAAAGTAAGCACTAAATAACTGATGCCCGATGAATGAATATATGGCCATATAAATAAATGAAAGAAAAAACCAAATGAATGACTAGAGGGCAATTAGTCACAGTAGAGGCAGGTGTCTCTCCCACTCTGATTTTTCGAAGGGAGATACAGACTGAGCAACAAGTGACAATCCTCTTAGAGAAACCAAGTCCCTCCACCCTGTGGTTATAGTGTCTTTGCTGAGGGCTCTTCCTGCAGCTCAAGGTCAAGATTGATACCTAAAACTCAAAGAGGAACTCACCAGCAAGTGGCCTGAATTGGATTTGCTTACTGGTGATCTTCACCGGCAATGGCTTATATTTGCACTTGCCTGGGGGTGCTCGCCTAAAAACACAGACAGAAAGGATGAGGACGGAAAACTGTGAAGATGCAACCAGGAGATCAAGATCACTGAAAAGCCTATGTTGGCAAGAATTGGAGTCATCCTTCTCTTATCCCGGGGATTGGGTAGAAGGAATAGGAATACCCCACAGGCTCAGAGGGAGAGGAGAAAGGCATGGGCATCACAGGGCTTGGGACCTGGGAGACAGTGCAGTGTGGGGTTAGGAATATGGACCTGGGGACAGACAGAATCAGGTTCACATCCTGGTGATCAGCCTTGCTAATTTCTCACCTATAAAATGCAAACTATAAAATACTACTCATCTCACATGGATATGGCAAAGATTAAATAAGAGCTGTGTGCCTGGTGTACTATAAGTGATTAACAAAGAATGAGATTTAAAAAAAAAAAAAGGCACTCAGAACAAGGCCTAGCACAGGACATGTGCTCACCAGATGATGATGGTGGTGGTGGTTCCCCTTTAAGGAAAATCCCTCCCCAAATGCGTGGCAGAGCCCTATGTAATGCAAGCCTCTCTGTCCAGCAGCATACTCCTTCTTAAACTGCTCATCCCTGGGTGCATCTTCTGAAATAGAATGGACTTTGGGCAATGTGAGAACTCCCATTATGCAGAGCAGAGCTGAGACTCCCCCCCCCCATGCAATCCCCACTTTTTCTCTATCTGACTCCAAATCTCCCTTTTGCTAGCATCATCCTTAGCCCAGGTGGGGGGGGGGAAAGTAATTTGAATTATTTAGGAAGTATTTTTGTAGCGCTTAGGCACTATTCTAAATATTTAATAAATATTAACTCACTGAATGCTCATAATAACCCTGTGAGATAGGTACTATCATTAGCCCTATTTATTTAGTTTTGATTTATTTTTGTTTCCAGGGATTGAGCCCAGGGGTGCCTAACCACTGAACCACATCCCCAGCCCTTTTTTTTATTTTTTACTTTGAGGCAGGGTCTTGCCTAGTTGCTAGGCTGGCTTTGAATTTGCAATTCTCCTGCCTCAGCCTCCCAAATTCTGGGGATTACAGGCATGTACCACATCACCCAGCTGTCCCCATTTAAAAAAAAAAAAAACTAAGGTACTTAAAAGGCTAAGAATCAGGCTCAAGGTCACAAGATTAATCAAAGGCAAAGCCAAGATTCAAAACCAGGTTCTAGGGTCCTTGTTCTCAAGCACGGTATTTGGCTACCTCTAAAGGAAGGGCAGGAGGAAAAGTCAGAAAGAAAGGAAGGATACAGAAATCCATCCATGCCACCCCAAATGCCGGGACAGGTGCACAAAGTGCAAAGACAGGCTGAACGAGCAAGCAGAGCTGAGTCTGGCCCACTGCAGCTTTAGAAGTCTGTGTGAGTCAATGTAATGATAACTGAGCCAAGTAAGCAGAGCTGAAATAACTGATCCCAAAGGAGAACTGAGTTCTTATCTTGAGCCAGGTCTYCCTAGCCACCTTAAGGGAGTGATTTAACTTGCCTAGGCTTAGGTCTCCTTAGGCCTGGACTGAGCTGCTAACCTGCTTCACTGGGATGCTGCCACCATTCCAGGAGAACGTGCATGCACAGCACTGAGGGTAGCCTGCCACATTGTAATAACTCAATAAATGCCACTGCAGAAAAAGGCGAATGAGTGAGGAGATGTCTTYGGTCGTGGGAGAGGCCTTACTACTACCTTCTCTCTGGCCTCTTACAGCTGCTCTTCTGAAAGAGTTGAATTACCTCCAAACCAAATAAGGAAACTACCAAAGGAAAGAAAAAGTGATTCACACAGGAAACCTTTGTGTGGAAAGACCAGAACCCTCCACCCCAGGCATTATCAACTCACATGAGCACTTCAAAGGCTGGGGATCTCTCCCTCCCCTGAGTACAGGGGATGTATGCACAGAAGCAGAGACACTCCAGTATCAAGTTCACCCCTTGGAACTTGCCCTCCATTCTCAGCAGAGCCCCACAGGTACAAGCTAGGGGACTGAGCCTCTTCTAGGAACTTCTGGGAACACACAACCCCAGAGCCCAGTTAAATAGAAGCTGAACTGGGCAGGGCCCCTAAGCCCTGCACATAGGCCTAATGGCTACTGAACACCAATCACATCTGGGAGACTGGAGCCTCAGAAGGTCATGTTACAGGTCCATCTGTAAGGTGATTAATTCCTGGGTAGATCTTCCTGCTTTGAGTAAAACTCCTGAGATAATTGCAGTGCRCTACCCAGACTGCTCAGTGTGGACACACTGCCTCACCCTACAGGGGCAGAAACACTGACCAGACTCAACAACCTCACCAATGAGAAACTGGATTGTGGCTCTGATCTGTTCTGCTGGAAGATGGTTAGACTCTRAGAGAAGTGGGTAAAGCAACAGCAGTAAACAAACAAACAAACAAACAAAAGAATCTACCAAGTGATGAGATACTACCACTGATTCCAGAGAAGGTCAGATGGAAATAGAAAGAAAGCTAACTGCTGAAGGTGTTGGCCAAATACCTTGAGACCTCAACCAAGTCCAGCAGACAGGGTAGCAATACTTGCTCAGGTGGTTGGGGGTGTATTCCTGTTGTCACATTGCCCCCAGACAGAAATCTCCAGAAGACTATCTTTTAAAAAATAGGCACCGGAGGGATAGACCAGTCACCATGTAATGCCTCAAGGTCCTGGTTTCCAACTACAACAAGACCATTTCCCAAGGAGCCCATAATTCCTAGGGACACATTATCCTACTCACTTGTTTGCCCAAACTGCTCTCTTCTAGGGCATAGATGTACTTTGTGATCATTTTTGGCAATTCTTGGGAAGTAAACACTGTTTTTAGGTCACTGTCATGGAGAAAAGKGTTAATAAAAATTAATTAAAATGTGCCTGAGAAGAAATGACACCAAATCTTACCTTGAAGGATCAACAAATTTGTAAATAGATCCATGTGGCGCGTAGGCACTTGGGTAAGAGGTGGCCAGGAAATACAGCTCCCCTGAGTAGACAAGCAATAACAGGTCATCAGCAGGGCTGAAACAGGGATGCAGGCACAGAAAATGAAATGAGGTAATGGTCCTCAAATGCAGTGAGCCCCAAGAACAGAACTCTGTAATCCTGATTCAGCCTTCACTGGACTGTGAGCTCCTTGAGGATTAAATCCACCTTTGAATCCTAAGACCAGCTCAGAGCCCAGCTGGGCAGCACACACCTGTAATACCAGCAATTAAGAAGGTTGAGGCAGGAAGACCACAAGTTCATGATCAGTCTCAGCAACCTAGAATGATCCTTTCTCAAAACAAAACATAGAAAGAAACTGGGGATGCAGTGAAAGGATGCCCTTGGGTTAAATCCATAGTAAAACAAACACACACACAAACACACACAAAGACCAGCTCAGAGGGTGGTCCATCAGAACCAGACAGCCTTCTCCTTTATCATCTCTTTGCACTGTGAAACTTCACCTTGGTGAATCTCCATTTCCCCCTGACCCAGCCCTCCATACTGATAAGATTCTCTGAGACTTGGAAATCCACTATCCATAGACCAAGGACCATTATTGGTTGCTTGTCTTCTGTTTTGTTTCCCCTCAGCCTCAATCTCTTGTCCCCCCCACCCCCACCCCCTTTCTTAACTCCCTGGACCATTTATTTCCTCGTGACCTTCCCTACTCTTCAGCCTTTCCTCTGGCTCTTCTCATTGCCCTCCAAAAATCACCTCCATGTCAGGCGAGGTGGCTCACGCCTGTAATCCCAGCTGCTCAGGAGGCTGAGACAAGAGTATCAAGAGTTCAAARCCAGCCTCAGCAATGTTGAGACACTTAGCAACTCAGTGAGACTCTAAGTAAAATACAAAATAGGGCTGGAGATGTAGCTCAGTGGTTGAGTGCCCCTGAGTTCAATCCCCAGTACCAAAAAAAAAAAAAAATCACCTCCATTCACCTTCTCATATATCACTTAGAAAGTGCCCCACTTCTCCCTATATCCTTGTGTTTAAATTTCAGAAAACGTCATCAATTCCATTCCCACAGTACCTACCTCATTCCACCTGACTTTGTAATGATCTGTGAGGGACAGTACAGATGAGCCCCACAGTTAGATAGATCTAGGTGTGAATTCTGTGGCTTCTGATGACACCAGTTACCAGCTTGTTAGCCTGGGTAACCTCCTAATCTGAATAAACCTCCAGATAGTTATTCATTCATAAAATGGGGATCACAATTGATCAAATAAGAAAGCATTACTTTCTTATTTCTCTATTTCTGAAGTCCACATGTAACCTGGGTCATTCTCCAACAGGAGTCCCTCCAAACCATCAAAGACTTCCTGGTCTCAAAGGAGAATCGAAAACCCTGTCCTGCTGCATATTCCCTTCACATAACTACCATCAGTGTAAATTATACATCTTCAACTTGCCGTAGACTTCCCATGTGTAGTTAAGGGGAAACAAAACTAGAGGGAATTTTCTTCATTTTATTTATTTTTTTCTTATTTTTCTAGGGATCAAACCTAGGGCCTTGCACTCTGGAAGCAAATCCCAGCCCAACAGAGGTGAATTTTAACTGTAGTTTCCAATTGATATTTTTAGTATCTATTTTTCTAATTTTTTATTTGTTTTAACTAGTTACACATGACAGCAGAAYGCATTTATGCATTTTAGTATATCATACCTAAATATAATTTCTCATTTTTATGATTGTACTTGTTGTAGAAGAATCACATCAGTCAATCATACATGTATATAACATAATAATGTTTGTTTCACTCTACTATCCTTCCTATCACCATATCCTCTCCCCTCCCTTCACTCACCTCTACCTAATCAAAAGTAACTCAATTCTTCCACAGCCTACCCCCATTATGAATTAGCATCCACATATCAGAGAAATCATTCAGCCTTTGATTTGGGGGGATTGGCTTATTTCACTTAGCAAGATATTCTCCAACTCCATTCATTTACCAGAAAATGCCATAATTTCATTCTTCTTTAAAACTGAGTAATATTCTATAACACACACACACACACACACATACATATCACATTTTCTTTATCCATTCATTTGTTGAAGGGCACTTAGGTTGGTTCTATAGTTTAGCTATTGTGAATTGAGTTGCTATAAACATTGATTTATCCACATCACTGTAGTATGCTGATTTTAAGTCTTTTGGGTATAAACTGAGGAGTGGGATAGCTCAGTCAAATGATGGGTCCATTCCAAGTTTTCTAAGGAATCTCCCTACTGATTTCCATAGTGTTTGCACCAATTTGCAGTCCCACCAGCAATGTGTGAGTGCTCCTTTTTCCCCAAACATCCTCGCCAACATTTGTTATTGCTTGATGATTGCCATTCTGACTGGAGTGAGATAAAATGTTAGAGTAGTTTTGATTTGCATTTCTGTAATTGCTAGAGATGTTGAACATTTTTTCATATATTTGTTGATTGATTGTATTCTTCTGGAACAAGACAAGGATGCCCTCTTTCACCACTTTTATACAATATGGTCCTCAATAGAGCAATTAGACAGAAGAAAGAAATTAAACGGATACAAATATGTAAAGAAAAACTCAAACTATCATTATTTGCTGAGACATGATTCTATATTTAGAAGAACCAAAAAATTCCACCAGGAAACTTCTAAAACAAATAAATGAATTCAGCAAAGTAGCAGGATATAAAAATCAACACCCATAAATCAAACGTGTTCTTATACATCAGTGTTGAATCCACTGAAAGAGAAATTAGGAAAACTACCCCATTCAAGATAGTCTCAAAAAATAAAATAAATACTTGGGAACCAATCTAACAAGAGGTAAAAGACCTCTACAATGAAAACTACAGAAAACTAAAAAAAGAAATTGAAGAAGACCTTAGAAGATGGAAAGTCTGCCCATGCTCCTGGATAGGCAGAATTAATATTGTCAAAATGGCCATACTATCAAAAGCATTATACAGATTCAACACAATAACCATTAAAATCTTAATGAGTTCTTCATAGAAATAGGAAAAGCAATCATGAAATTCATTTGGAAAAAATAAGAGACCCAGAATAGCCAAAGCAATCCTTGGCAAGAAAAGTAAAGCAGGAAGCATCACAAGACCAGACCTTAAACTATACTACAGAGCTATAGTAACAAAAACAGCATGGTTTTGACACCAGAACAGACACATAGGCCAGTGAAACAGTGTGGGAGGCTGATTAGCACGTGACTGCGTCTGTCTCTCCTTCTGATTGGTGTGGCATCATCATTTCGTTGGTCACTCTATGATCTGGTTGCCTAGGTAACCGAGATGATAGCCCCAATCTTTAGGGTGCAAGCGACTGTGTCTTTGTGGATGGGCATGCCTTCCTATGCTCACCTGTTCCTTTGTGATATTACCCCTTGCCCTGTTTGGGACAGAATGTTCCATGGAAACACCCTTTGTGTGTCCCCTTCTCTTACATTGCCCTTGGGTGTGGCCTTCCTAGATGTCAGTCAACCTGCTGACAATAGACATCATGAAGCTAGACTCAGCCCCCCTGAAACCTGACCCCTTGCCTCATTTGAATAGCTTCTCCTCAATAAAAGGGGTCAGCATGTGTGGGCTCTTTTGCTCTCGTTCTCTCTCTCTCTCTCTCTCTCTCTCTCTCTCTCTCTCTCTCTCTCTCTCTCTCTCCCCCCCCCCACTTTCTGCAGGCCCTTAAGGTCAAAGGAGCCGTCACAGCACCCCCAAAGAAAAAAGGTATTTCTGTCTCTTGTGTGGTTATTTTGCGCAGCCCAGTTAGCCCAGTTCCCCTGGAGTGACTCCTGAGTGTTTTAGTCCTGAGCAACCTGACAAAACAGAATAGAAGACACAAAGGCAAACCCACACAAACACAGCTGTCTCCTACTAGACAATGGTGCCAAAAACATTTACTGGAGAAAAAGACAGCCTATTCAACAAATGGTGCTAGGAAAAATAGAAAGCCACATGTAACAAAATARAATTAAACCTCTATCTCTCGCCCTGCACAAAACTCAACCCAAAGTGGATTAAAAACTTAGGCACTAGAATAGAGACCCTGCACCTACTAGAAGAAAAAGTAGACCCAAATCTTCACCATGCTGGCCTAAGATCTCACTTCCTTAACAAGACCCCTATAGCGCAAGAAGTAAAATCAAGAATCAGTAAATGGGATGGATTCAAACTAAAAAGCTTCTTCTCAGCAAAAGAAACAATCAATAACGTGAAGAGAGAACCTACAGAGTGGGAGAAAACCTTTACCACATGCACCTCCAATAAAGCATTTATCTCTAGGCTATATAAAGAACTCAATAAACTTAACAGCAAAAAAAMCCCACAAATAACCCAATCAATAAATGGGCTAAGGAACAGGACACTTCACAGAAGAAGAAATACAATCGATCAACCAATATACGAAAAATTGTTCAACATCTCTAGCAATTTAGTATCTATTTTAAGGAGAAAAAAACTACCATATATCCTTTGAAACAAAATACATGCAATATGAATTTACTGCAAACATCATTACTTTGGCCAGCCCTCTTGGAAATGAGCTTAGGTGACTGACATTCAGAAATCCAATCAATCAAAACAGCAAGGGGTGGTCCTACATCAGCCATTCACTCAGCAATTATTTATTTATACTAGCTATCAACTCTGAGCTCAGTAAGTAAACTGTGGCATTAGTTGAGGGAGAGTTCTGGTTCCACTAAAAAATAATTCACCTAATGCTGGTGAGTGATAACATAAAATAATGAAAATTTTTAAAAAAGATTTTWAAAAAAGTTTCCAAGTGGAAAGAATATGCTAATAGCAAAAAATACAAATTCATTTATGCAACAACAAAAAAAACCCCACCAGCTCTGGGAGAAATTTATTTGCCTGGGGAAGATTCTCACTGGCTTCAGGGCTGCCCTTGGGCAAACACCTGGCAAGTCCACTTCCTAGAATTCAGCCAAGGACACTTAGTTTTGTTTGCCAGATGTACTGACTGGTTTTCCAAAACTTCCTGCTTTCTCCTGAGTCGCCTGCAGGCTCAAGAAACCAAACCACCAAACCCAGGGGTCTGTGGCCTCCTGTAAAATAGTTACAGAAGATGGCTGCCCAGTGTTCCTGGGCGGCCCTGCCTCTGGGGGTCCACAATCATATACTTTCCATCCTCCTGCCTGCCTGTCGGTCCTCTCCTTTCTTATATGTTTGGACTTCTAATTTGGAACTCACACTGGTGTTTTTCTGTTAAAAAGGCTTGAACTTTCCAAAATGCCTTCTACTTCTATAAAACCTTCATCTCAAACTATCTATCTACTCATCTGCTGGCTGAGAGGAAAGAATACAGGAGCTAACAGATCTCTTTATAAATTCTACTCAAGTAAAGATCCTGTACAGCCACCCCGTGGCTCAGAGTGGAAAGAAACCAAACACTCAGGAACTCTTCAAGGCTCTGGTGTCCACCTACAGAGAATCCCAGGACTGGAAGAGACTCTAAAAGAGAACTTTATTATCTTCTTTGCCTCTAAGCATGTCTAGATCCAGTGCCAAATACTAAAAAGATCACTATACACACCTGTATAAAAACAAAACAGAATTTATTTAAAATTTGGAAGGGTAATCTCTCAAAATGAAACATAACGTGAAGCTAAAATTAAAAGTCAGTTCTCTAATGATAAAAGTCTTGGAAAATTTTTAGAGCTGAGTGTCTCTTCTCCCCTCTCATACATGAGCCCATGCCTAGCTTCAATGATGCCATTAACATGTACCTAGCCACTTCCTATCTACCTAGCTGTCTACTCTTTCTTCAGATTTCTCAGGAAATAAATTCTCCCTTACTCACAAATTCTTGGCAGGGTCAGGCCAACTGGTGAGCCAATCATAAGAAGTCCCTTCTGCTAGGCCATCGAAGGAGGGTAAGCGTTCACAATCCATTTAGTCTGGCCCCCTGGCCTGCACGTGGCCCTGTAACTGTGATTAAGAATAAAGAGGGAGGGGCTGGAGATATAGCTCAGTTGGTAGAGTGCTTGCCTCGCATGCACAAGGCCCTGGGTTCAATCCCCAGCACTGCAAAAAAAAAAAAGAATAAAGAGGGAACCATTTGTGAATCTGTTCATAGTCAAAGGATCAAAAAGACCAAAATTCAAACTTGATATGCCCCTCACAATGAGATGTGCAGGTCAAACAAGACAAGTAGGCTGGCATAGCAGCCTATTTATTTGTTGGTTTGTTGGTTTGCAGTACTGGGAATTGAACCCACGACCTTGCACGTGATAGGCAAGCACTTTACCACTGAGCAACACCCCTAGCCTGAGCCTGTTTCTTTGTTGGTGAAATGAACCTAATAATTACGTCACAGAGGTGTTGTGGTTACTAGTTGAGGTGGAAAACATGAAGTGTTTTGAAGAGTACCCAGTATGTTAAAAGAGATGATTAAATGATAATAATAGTAGAAGCAGTATTTACTGTATAAATAATGACAACAATAATAAATGTTCAGTCGATACTTGTGATAATCCAAGTAAAGTAARCAGACATCAAACTGCTCTGCCCATGGATTACCTGCTTCATCTTCAGCAAAGGAGATGATGAACTTGCTATAGGTGCTGATCAACCCTGGGAAAGCACAGGACGAGGTGCTCCCCAGGCAAATGTCTCTCTTCTTCCATTTCTGGGTTTTYCTATCTTCCTGCAAAGCCATAAGTCGACTAGATGAAAAATAAAACCTTGTATTTTAGGAATCCATATTTCCACTCTGCAGAATGTTTTTCCACCTAGAATCAGCAATCATTGAGTGCCAAGGCTAGGTCTCCCACAAAGAGATCAATAACAAGCCTCCCACATAGAAGAACCAAAAAGCTGCTTCAGTGATACTTCAGACCCACTTACCCTCGATGGGGAAGCACATTTTCTATTATAAGTTTAATGCCCTGAGAAGACTGCACCACTGCAAAAGACTCATCTTGGGCTGGGGTTGTGGCTCAGTGGCAGAGCACTTGCCTTGCACATGTGGGGCACTGGGGTTAGATCTTCAGCACCACATAAAAATAAATAAACAAAATAAAAATATTGTGTCCATCTAAAAAAAAACTCTTTTTTTATGGGTTCTATGACCTTTGACTAGTTGTCCAAAATCTCTAAACCTCAGTTTCTAATGTATATAATGAAAAAAAAATTTATAAAGTGAACCAGGCACAGTAGTGCACATCTGTAATCCGAGTGAATGGGGAGGTGGAGGCAGATGGATTGCAAGTTTTAGGCCAGCCTCTGCAACTTAGTGAGGCTCT